TTATGTATAACTTCAAGCTATCATATTCTAGAATATATATTTTAATAGGAAATATGAATAACATCTTGATTCACCGATTTTATCTTATTCTACTTATTCATAATTATGATTTTATATGTATGTAACTTTACAATTTAATTTATATCAAATGCTATATTAAAAATAATCTGAATATGAAATGAAAAAATATTAAAACATCTATATCAGTAATTTTATAATTATTTATGTACGTTATTTGTAGCAGCACGATATTTAATTATAATATTGTATTATTAGATATTGTATGTTTAGTTCCTTCGGATTTTGTGTCATTTATTTTGTTTTGTGTATTTTACTTTGCTTTGAATGTGCTTATCATATAAACATGCATTATATCTTCACTGTTGCATCGTCAAATTTTCTATTACTTTATTATTTACCGATTTTTGATCATTAGAATATTACTATAACATTATAAATTTCAATTTTTCGCGAAATATGTAAAGTTTTTTTTTGTTTAGAATGGCATCAATATACATATAATACGACAAGTAAAGTCTTTTTAAACTTAAATAAAATTAAATAAAGTTTAAACAACGCGTGTTGTAGAGAAATATTCGATCAAAATTCTCATGCAAATAATGAAATTTGTGAACATACCTTCAGTTTTGTACAATTTTTACTATTATTATCAATATTTTTTTAAAATAATTTTTTGTTTAAATTTTTTTGTACGATCTTTTCACGTATGCACTACACACGAATCGAACGTAATATTGCTGTCGGCGATAATAATCCGACAGCAAGGAGGTATCTCTGTTTTATCTATGATTTTTAATTGAAATGCGATCAGTTTATGGTCAGATATGACAAAAGGTAAGTCCAATCTGGCCTGAAGAAAGAAGGAGGAATATGATGAAGGTATAAGGTAAGTGGTCAATTTTGATCACATGGAGTATAAGGTAATGTACAAAATTGTTATTTATTTGTTTGTTTGATTTCCTCTATATTTTCCTCTATTTTCTCATATGTGTATGAGAAAGATCCGATTTACATTCTAATCGCGCGCATATATTTGAAACTCTGATTCTTAGATTTATCGCTCGAATAAATTTCAGGTGTTTGCTGGATTACCAAAAAATCGGTTTCCTTAGTAAGTCTCACATTGCGTCGCAATTTTAATAAACATTTATTTTATTAACTTGAAATATGCGGGTAGGTAGGTAAATGGATACGAAAAAATGGGCAAGTAGGAATATAGATCAGAGTACGGGTGGGGATTCGGTCAGGTAGGAGTATTAATAATTTGAGTTAAAAAATAGAGTTGAATCGATTTTATTATAGACAAAATAATAATAACTTGTATATAATAATTAAAAGTACATCGATATATTTATTATTATATAAAATATAATAATATATAATTGTATTTGTTATTATATTTTTAATAATAATAACTTAAAAATTATGTTACTAATTTTTAATTAATTCTTAGAGACAATGTAAAATATTACGTATTTTTGTAAATGTTATGTATTTGTAATTTATGCAATAATTGTATATTATTGTGTTATTTATATAATATAATTGGCAATACTATGTATTTTAATTGAAATTAATGTAATAATAATTGTAAATAATGTTTATTATGTAATCGGATGCAATTAATAAGACAAAAATCTTTGCATCTAACAAACGTTCGTTTTGGGAGATTTAAAAATTTTTTGTCATCAAAAGATTGTTAATAAAAATTTG